GGGACCACACCTATGGTGCATTTTACAAGAGTACATGTTAAATCTAATAAGTATAGAATATAAATCTTAACACAGTAACTAAGAAAATGAGGTGAAGGCTATGTTAACCAGTTGGATGAAAGTATTTCAAATTGTATATAAAACCAGCACATTGTACCCCATGATTGCATTATGTACACAGCTATGATTTAATTAATAAAAAAAATTTAAAAAAACACATAGAAAAACTTTCTGCCTTACAATTTACTATTAATTTGAAACACATTGATGTTTATTCTTGATATTACATTGAACAAAAGGCTAATATTTGGCCTTTTATTAAGACAGAGGAAGTATTTAAGGCCACTGTTTGATACTCCTGCTACTTAATGGTTTCCAAGATGGTGTACTTACTCTTGTCAAGCAGGAAATGGAAAAGTAATGGTAGTAATTTGACCCAGGAAAGTGTGGCATTGTGGAATATTGAGAGAATTGGTTTATTATTGTATAACATCTAAAGCTGCTAACACTGCTCAGCTACCTTGGTTTGGGGAATTTATGACTTTTCTAACTATTGTCTTTTACTATGAAGAATTTTTTTCCTGGGTTTGTTTATTGATTTGCTAGCTAGCTCTTTTGTATGCCAAGTTAGCAACAAAAATTGTAGATTCCCTGGACAATGGTTTTCTCACCCAGGTAATGTTGATGCTTCTACTTGATTCTACCAATTTCTCAGATACTTTTTGGGCCCAAGTATTAAAACAATGTTTTATATTCATTCCTTGGAAAAAGAAAAGTATTTATAAATCCAAAGTAGCAGTCTCACTAGGTAATTGTGGCCAGGCCTGCCTCAAATCACCTATGTTTCAACTCTCATAAAACATATATTAATAAAAAAGTAAAAGTTTGATAAAATGAGGAAATTTTTGTGTTCACTTTGTATATCTTATGTCAGATATATTCTTTCAAAAGTGTTAGCTTTCTTGTACTCTTTATGGAAAAAGTTTTCTCCTTCAGTATTTTCTTTATTTTTAGCACACATATGTGCATACATATATTTCAGCCTAGAAGAACTTGAATAGTTTGCTTCAAAAAAACCAGTATATGAAATATTGGACTTAGTCCTGATTTTTTTTTTAACTTTGTCTTGTGAATTGTGCTGAAAGAGGTGTTAGAGATTATCTGATATTATGTATAAAGAAACAGAGATCCAAAAAGGTGAAATAACTGGTTTAAGGTCATAGATATTGGTCCAAATCGGACTAAAACTCACTAGTCCAGCTGGCTTACTAGAATCATACCTTAAAATATGATTCTTTGGAATTTTCTTTAAAGATCATGCAATATATTTAAATAATGAATTGATGCTAACAATTTTTAGAGCAAATCTGTTGCATAAAGTAGCACTTTACATAGTATATTTTAGGTCCATTAATAGGTATTAACATGGGAGGAAGAGGGCAATGTAGAGATGCCCCTCCTTTAAACAGAGTATCTTAGGGTACTAATGTGTCACCCCTGAGCACCAACACCTATAACTCAAAACCTGAATGGGAAAAGTCATTTACATGTAGGTCACTCTGAGGAAGACAACATTTCCCTACTATCTTTCTCAGGGAAAGAACTTGTGTAGTGATATCAGTGTTTGTAAGTCTCTCTGCAGTGGTGCTCTCAAGATCCTTTACTTGAAGAAGTGAAGTTGAAGGTCAGAACAAGGAAATCAGAGCAATGGTTCACATCTCTTCTGAACAGTAGTGATTAGAGACTTTAAAAGCTACTGCTAAAGAGTTAACTTAATAATGTAATAGGTAAAATGAGGCAATTCATCTACTGTTGGACCTTAACAAGATGTCTGCAGAACACAACTTGAAGGGGATCGAAGACAGAACCTATTGGACGATCTCGTAACTCGAGAGAGACTACTTCTGGCATCCTTTAAGAATGAGGGTGCTGAACCAGATCTAATCAGGTAGGATGTTTTCTATTACAGGGATAACTTGGTGGGTGAAGACTTATTTGCAGATGTTACAGCTGTTTTCCCTAATGGCTTACTTTCCTTAACTGGTAGAGTGTATTCTGTCCGTTTATGGTTTTTGACTACAGTTTTCTATTCAATTCAGTTTTCTTTTTTTGTTTGTTTGTTTTTTTTTTTTTTTTTTT